TTCCGCTTCTCCTAAAGCTCCAACTCAATCTCCCGCTCGCAAGCCTTCTCGATCATGTCATTTAGGGTTTTACACCCTGAGAATCTCACGAACTCCCTAATGTCATCCCTCAACATAACATGATATCTTGTCTTCCTCATCTCCTTGTCCGCAACATATTGCGGAACCAATAGTTCCCTCTCCTTGAATTTGATGGTGATCTCCGCCACGGTCTCCGTGGTCTGGGCGAAGGTCCTGAAACTCCCTCGCCAGCTGTTACACCTTAATGGCTAGTGCAAACTCCCGATGAAATCTCCGGAAAAAGTCCTCCCATGTCCTCTCAACCATTCTTGTTTTCCCTACAGCTCGTGTAACCTCCTCCCACCAATCGTGCGCCCTATCCCTCAGCAAGCAGGATGCGAATCCAACTTTTGCCCCCTCAGGGCAAAAACTCGTTCGCTGAGCATTCTCCATGTTAGCGATCCAACGTCGGCTAGCTATGGGGTCCTTAACCCAAAATAACTCAGGCGCCCCACACACCTTGAACTCCTGGAAAGAGGGAGCTCGACCCCGAACTGACCCGCAATAATCTTGGCTCGAAATGACCTGAGCCGGTCCTCCATGATCTCCATAATCCCCTCCTTAACGGTACCGAAAATCACCAGGTTAGCATCAAGGATGCCGCGAGTAACCTCGGTTGCAATAAGCTGACACAGCCTCTCATCAATCGGCTCAACGCGTGAACTTGAACCCGAACCAGAGCCCGAACTTGAACCTAAACCTCCGTGAGTAGTCATCACCATCCTCAAACTGAAAATACAACATAAAAGCAATCAATAAAAGAGATTCGAGGGGACTCCTCGACACCAGCCTCCTTAGAGATTCCAGACCAGCCCTTGTCTCAGGTATAGGTCCTATGTTTCCAGTAGTACGGGCCCAATACTACCTTCCACATATACCTGTACTATCCCCAAGGTCAATCCAATTTCTCCAAGTGCCCCACTACAAACATAACAACCCTATGCTACACATCATACACAATATGGAATCATATAGAAAACCCTCAACTTTTATACTAGGAGTACCAAGAACCTCAATCAACACCGCTGGTTGCCCTATGCATGCAAGTTGTACACAAAATAGGATCGCATAGACTGTCGAATGAGGATTCTACCCTAAATTCACAACCAAACAAGGAACATGAAATGAGGCCAAATCAATCATTCTAGGGTTATACAGTCCTAAGCATATACAACTTTGAAAGCATGCACATAACAAATAATTGAGCTGATATCAATTCCACGTAATAAATAGCATCCATTCTATCGAACTATTAGGCATGACACAATTCAGGCAATTCTATCATACGATTCCTGGATATATCCTTAACCCTAATCTAGCATACAGTTCACATATCAAGCATACTAGTCATAACACATAAGTATCGTAACTTTTGGAAACACTTACTTGAGCTCCGCTGATTGCACGCATTGCACTCCCTTTTTTCTTTAAAGAGTCTTTCTCAACATTGTTCAGTTCTTTTTATTTTGAAAAGATTATCGTTTCATCAATTGGAGTTCTGACACACCCGAAAATGTGCGCGAATCCCTCAAACCAAGTCTCTGATACCAACTTGTAACAACCCAAAAACAAGGATCAAATTTTTCATTTTAAATAAACATAGAAGTTACAATCGTCACATTGTTCCAAAACTATTCATTAATAATAATGTCAAATCACCAGATTAAAATGTCAATTTACGGAAAACTAGTGAGGAGTGAATGTTACGCCATCAAGTCGGGCCCTTCCCCTTAGCACCGGAAGTACCTGAAACCACAAATATAAACTGTAAGCATAAGCTTAGTGAGTTTCCAAATCATATCACATACTAAAAAGTAAACATGTAAGTGCCATGGGATACCCCCATGGTCTTTACACACAATGCCGAGGGCCAGATCCCGGTCTTACATATGAGTGTCACGGGCTACCCCCATGGTCTTTCCTTGCGAAGTCGAGGGCCATATCCCGATCTTACACTCAAGTTCCATCGGCTACCCCCATGGTCTTTCATACTGTTATCACAAAAGTCAACAACAATTCTCATTAATAAGATTTGGTTTGGAATTGCTGCCTTTGACCCATGAACATGGTGAGAAGAATCACCTCAGCCGCTGATATCCCAAACAAACACTCGGCTGCTAAGCTGGATAAATTACCAAGCTAACTAAACAATAAAGTCCCAAAACAATTGAATCAAAATCCGAACTAATACTTACAACATCAGACTAATGTCCAAAGTGAGATGGGCCAAACTAGACCTAAGGCCCAATAAAATCCTAGGCCTAAACCAAGGATCAACTAAAGCCCACGATGAGTCCATCAACTGGAGTGGCCCATCGAAAAAACGTCCAAGATCCAAATCCATTAAACGAACTCATCGCTTTGGCCTAAAATGTAAGCCCGAATGATTTGAGCCGTACGCTCGGCATACACACTGCACGTGTAGCGTACAAGGTTGAAGCGGGAATCACGAACAACAGAGGCAGTACGCGCGACGCACAGGAAGTACGCACGGCGTACGTGGCCCCCATGCAAGCCATGGAAAAATGACTTAACCACTTAATCCTAAACGATTAAATCTCATATCTGGACTCCCTAAGACCATTAAGGTCATAAAGTAGCAAACTTTATGCCTTTGGGTGGATACAAAGAGCCCAAATCTAAAACCTAGCTTTTCACAACCCAACCTACACTGTAGCACATGAATGGGGACTCAACAAGGTCCAAGATTGCACCTTTATGATGTAAAACGACTAGAAGCATCTGAAAATACAACTTGGAGGCTTAGGAGTAGCTCATACTCACCAAGATCTAAACTTTAGGGACAAAAGGGGAAAACTAGCCTCAAAATGGAACTTAATGAAACACAACCAAAGCTTGGAGCTTTATACCTTCTAGTGGTGCAAAATGAATATGAGAAGCTTGATCCAAACTTTTGAGGGCAAAGCTTCCTTCTAGAACAACCTTCTTCACAACCAAAAGCAAACACTATCACTCAAAAGCTCCAAGAAGATCAAAATGTATTAGGGTTTGCTAAGAGGGTCGAGAAAGGGAATAGAGGCTGAGGTAGGGGAGGGTCTTCGGCCATAATGGGGTTTAATTAGTGCAGAAACCCTAATTATTAGGGTTTTGTCCTGAGCCAAATACGCGCAACGTACTGGAGTATGCGCAACGTACTCACACAGAGTCCATTACGCTAAGCGTACAAGGATGTACGCCCCGCGTACACAATCAAGACCAAGATTTCAGGATTTTAACTTCGGGGACCTTAAGTGCAACCAAATCAAACTTTAAGGGTTCAAAAGCAAACGTGATAAATCTTAGATGTTATATGATTCATCGGTTGGTCATTGTGTTCTTGAGTTCTTGAGTTTGTATGTGTGTGTGTGTTAGATCAGAACACGAAGAATACGAAGAACACAAAAGCTTCATATTTGAGTGTGTATATATGTGTATGTGTGTGTGTTTTAGATCAGAACACGAAGAACACGGACCGAGATCGAAACACAAACCCATATCAGAACACGAACCCATTTCTTCAAGCTCGATTTCTGGGTTTGAAAACCCTAACTTGAGTTCATCTTCATGCTTATCAGACCTTCAAGCTCGATTTTGGGAAAACCTCCACATGTGAGTGTGTTCATCTTCAAGGAACCCAAAACACACAAATTTGATTTCTTCTTTTTGCTTGGAGATCATTTTATTTCAGATCTGATATTCGAGCATGAACACATACACACACACACACACTTCTGGAGCTCGTTTGGTTTTTAGGAAGAAGATGAACATGATGAAGACGAACACCCTCCTGAAATCGATGAACACACCAAGTCTGAGGGTTGAAGACGATGTACATCAAATTGTTTGGTTTTCGAGCATCACATCTGATATTCAATCATTTGATTTCTTCTTTGTTCTTGGAGATCGTTTGGTTTTCGAGCATCAGATCTGGGTCGGAGGTTGAAGACGATGAACTTCAGACCTGGAACTACACTCTGATTTCAAAACCGATGGACCAAACTCTCTATGTGTTCTTAAACTGAAACCAAAAAATCCCAAGCACGCGGGAGTCTTGTCGGATAAGAGGATCGGAGCATTGTCGGAGTTGTCAAACACGCCGAAAACCGGCTAAACGCACGATTGAAGGTCATAAGGATGTTTTTTGAATGGTTCAACAAGTTCAATTGGAAAATATTGACAAAAAAAAAAACACAGTGACTAAATATGTATATATCAAAAAATATGTTACTCATTTAACTCATTATCCCAAAAATACCATGTGAAAAGACATGCTAGAAAATGAACATTTGACATTTTTAGGTTTCGTTTATTAGGATAAGTAATGATAATAACTATTAATATTTTGGTCGAGAGCTTTGGAATTGACATAATGAGAGAGGCAATTTAATTGTTTGTTTGTAAATCTAATCTAAGGAAAAATATATGAGTCCATAATGTAGTTGAATTAATATGCATGCATAAATTCAAAGTCAATTTTGTCTATCTGTTCAAACTCAATTTCGTCAATGTTTAATGTCTATCAAACCTTAATGCGTGGTTTCACTTGTGTATTCGAAGAAACAGATGCTACTAAGGAACTATTTTTAGATTATATATAACAATTAGACCAATCAAAATAAAAAAGCTATATTTTACTATAATATTGTTCTCTACTAAGACGATCGTCACGAAAATGCCGTAAATAGGTAACCAATTGATAGCGACGGCTTTGCGATCAACTATCAAGTATTTGATAAATTAATAATAATAAATCAAATAACAATAACTATTATCACTTTGACCAGTTTGTCAATTGTTTGACTGAATCAACGGCGTTATTCATGTAATATTCAACCTAGAAAGTTATATAAATACACCAAAAACTTAACTTCTCCACGGTTTTGCCTGCAAATTAAAATCTTGATTCTTTGATCAATTTCAAGAACATAAATTCTTCACAAATGACCACAAAAACTTCCTCTTCATATTCAGAGAGTAAACCACAGCCACCACGACGAACATGCTTGTGTTCTCCGACAAACCATCCAGGCTCATTCAGGTGCAGCCGCCACCGGAATCTCTACAGGGTTCCTAGCCAACAGGCGGCCAGTGGTGGCTCATGGGAGTTGGCGGTGGTTACAAAATCTAACTTGGTGAAGGCGTTTCTCCGGTTGATGATAAAGCCATCAAGCCATGATATTCAAAGGAGGAAGAATTTCCAGAAGAGGCCCAGTAGGTTTTGCTTGTTGAATGGGAATGGAAAAAGACTCGCAGTAGTTTCTTGATTATGCCAGACCTTTCTTTGGTTGAAAATATTATTTATTTATTTTCATTTAATACTTCATTCACTTTGTAATTAAACTACGTTGTATGGAGTTGTAAAAATTGCTTAATGTCTTATATTACAAGCATATGTCAAGATACTTGAATGGAAATTCTATCTGCGTACATTAATCGTTTTCATATAAAATGACAGTCTTTTTATCATTTAGAGGACAAATATACACTACAAGAAAAAAATACCAATCGGGACAAGACCTACGGGGATAACATATGTCGCTGCTGTAGTTGGACCGTATAGCGACGACAGTCCTATAGAGTTGATGAAAAACACTTGACTTCTTAAGCTACAACGACAACCTCTCATCACAACACATTATGCGGGAAAGAAAACGAGTTTAGTGCATTCTTAAAACACCTATGGGCTATGGCGACTACATGTCATCACCACAAACAAAGAATAAAAAAAGTTAAGTTTTTTTTTTTTTAAATTAATCCACTGAAAATGAAAGCGGTGTTGCTTTGTTTATCATCAGTTGCGACGACATGTCGTCCATAGATTGAGCTCGAGTTTTGGCTCTTCTGCTAAAAGGTATAGGGACAACTTATCCTCTCTAATAAAAAGTTTTTTTTTTTTTTACCACTTGTTTTCTGGATCCTTTTTTACATGTCATTATATGGAATTTTACAATTATTTAAATGATTCTTTTGTTCCTGGATCCTTTTTTACATGTCATTATATGGAATTTTACAATTATTTAAATGATTCTTTTGTTCCATGTCATTATATGGAATTTTATAATTATTTAAATTTCACATGTCATTACGTGGTATCTTTATTTTTTTTATTAATCAATAATTAATTCCACTAATTAATGAATTTACTATTGTATATGTAAAATATTCATTTTATTTAAATGGTTATTAATTTACAAATATATTTGAATTCAAATGAATGTTCTAGTGACACAATTAATATCGTGTATTTGATGATATATTTGAATTCAAAACATACCCTTCAACTTTTTGGACTTTTAATTTGAATTCTAACAAATTTATTATTTATTTAAATTTTATAAATAATTATGTGTGTATAATACATCTCTATCTTTGCTCTAATAAATGAAAAAGAACACCATTTTCAAAGAAGTATTTGAAATTTTTGATTCATAACAAGTATTTATATAATGTCAATAATTTATTTTATGAGTATAGATTCAATAACTACTTATTCATCATTTCGTTTATTTATTTCGAAAGTTAATTTAAAATATATTTAATATTTACATTTTAATTTTCAACATCATTACGTTAGAAAAATGCTAATGTCCAACCTTTTGACAAACATCATGCCTACATTAAAAAAGAAACAAAATTTAATTGATGTTCATTCCTTAAATATTTTTATTGATTATTCTTACTATAATTAGTTTTTGTTCATGAAAAGATGAATGGTTTGTGAATAAAAGATTTGTACATTAAGTTATCAAGCATTTACCTCTTAACTTTCAAGAAAAGATCGATATAATTTATAATATAGTTAAGATAGATTGAATTATTTACTTATTCATTATATCGTTTGCATTTATGTAAAAGTATTTTTTTTAAATATTTAATATTTATACATTAATATTAAACTTTTATTTTTAATAAACTCATGTAGTACACGGGTCACACACCTAGTCGTATCAATAAATAACAAAAATAAAAAATAATTTATTTTTTAAAATCATTTTACTGAAAAAAGGACGACATCATTTTCGACATGACTATGGTGACGGTATTTCATCCCTATAGCTTTCAATGTGAAACAGAGGAATGGCCCTCTTTGTATCATTCATGTATGCTCGGTCACAAGTCTCTCTCTCTCTCTCTACAGTTCTCCGCTCCTTAATTTTGGTAATTATCTTCCCCTTTGGCTACTTCATCACTTCCCACTCCCAAAGAATCATCTTCCTTTCTCCACTGATCCTAATTATCTTCCCCTTTGGCTACTTCATCACTTCCCACTCCCAAAGAATCATCTTCCTTTCTCCACTGATCCTCTTGTGGTTGTCGAGGTGCCGAAGACCGACGTCGGCCTCAAAGCCAACGATTAGCTACAACGCATGCGATTAGCTTCAACGTTGGTGTTTATCTTCACCTCATACTACCTGCTAGTTCCTTACAACTTCCAATTTTTTTCATAAATTTCCGATTACATGGACTCTTCATTACCGATGATATAGCTTTTCTTCACCTTGGGTTGGTAACCTTCAACACTCTCTAGTGACATTCCTTTACTCCCAAGTTTCTAATTCTTACTCATTTTGGTTCTAGTTATCCAGACACTTCCGTCTATTGGATTCCTTTTCGGTGTAGCTACCGACATCGTCTCCATCGATGCCTTTGTTTCACATCCTGTTACCAAACAAGCCCCACTCTACTTGATTTTGATCCCATGGAGAAACAAGGGGCCACTACCACTTGAATTTGATGCCATGGTGAAACAATTTAATTAAGTTTGTTGGAGATAATCTTTGACTTTTTTATATGTCATATCTCAAATAATGATGCAGATAACGTCCCTTTCCATTATCCTAGTTGGAATAATGTTCCTACAAAATACAAAATACAAAAGAAACATTTTTTACACACTTCATGTAAGTATACAATGTAATGTTTTATTTATATTTAAATCTTATAACTTGTAGGCTTCTTCTAATTCATTTTTTTGTATATGTTTTTTGATATCGATGCTTTCCGAGACACGCCTTATTAGGATGGAGATGCAAGGAATGAAGCTGATTGTGGATCAAGTTACATGTGTCAGAAAGGGAAGTTAAAGGAACATTTTAATATAGTGTAGGGTTATACGAATGTAGACTTGACAAAGAGAAATCCTCCGCTTAGACGGTCTAAAAAAGCATAGGGTAACATGAGTAAGTTCAAGAGAAGAAATGCATGAGAAGATTCATTTTGGCCAAAATGGTAAAATGAGAAATTTTATGTTTTTGGGCAAACTTTGTGACTTAATATATTAAGACCTATATTAATTTAGTGAGAAATGAACTAACATAGTTGTAGAATCTATCCCAACGTTCGAGTGGATATAAAGATCATAGGAAAAGAGTTTAATACGAAGAAGATATGCGTGTTATAAGTTAGAAGAAAAATTGTCTGAAGCTGGAATCGAATCAGCCTTGAAGGCTTCTATCAAGCAACCACCATGGCGTGGTGGAGAGCTCACCATGGCGCGTTGAGGGAGAATGGTAATTCAAACAAAGTCATTTGTCATAATTGGTAGGCAATGAACTTAGCACGACGACGTGGTATATGGGTACAATGACACGGTGGCCAAAGTAGGATGCTGTATGGAGAAGGCACCACTCCTAGGCAGATGCTGACCATGGCCTAAGAACGTACACCACGGTACGGTGGAGAAATTGATTTGTATATCAGTTAGGTTCATTCTTCTCAAAAACACACCAAAACCTTAGAGGAAGAAGCTCCAATGATTTGGAGCTCAAGGAAGGATCAAAGGGAGAAATTGGTTGTTTATGGCTTGGATTTAACATTGAAAGCTTATGAGTTCTTGAACAAAGAATATGGATCAAGATGCATCAACTGAAGAATGAAGCCAAAGGTAATTAGTCTTCACTAACTAGCAAGGTGATTTATAGCTCTCATTCTCTCTCATTAGATAATGATTATATGTTTAATAATGTATGTATGTATGTATGTATGTATGTATGTATGTATGTATGTATGTATGTATGTATGTATATATGTATCAGAGCGTGTATGTATAAGTCTGGATGAGTGTACCTAGTGATATCGTGCAATGATTTATCCTCTAGATGATATATAAAGCTATTGTATGAGATTGGACCGTTGGTTCTAGTTGAGAATAGAGAAGAAAACTGTAAGCAAAGGTATGATAAGACATGCTAAGAGTAAGATAGGTGATAAGAGTAGATTAAGAGTATGAGAAGAGCATGCAAAGTGATAGATGCCATTTTATGCATCTTTTTGGGTGGTTTTATTAGCATTTAGCATCATATTTTACACATTTGCATGCCATTAGTTTAAATAATCTTCAAATCATTTTTATCGTCTGAATTCTCGTACTACTCATGTTTTTATGTCGTTTTCAGATAGTTTGAGTGGAGCGGTACTGTAGGAGAAACTTTGAATGCATATTTGGAGCTTAAGGGAGATAAAACACCTGAGGAAACTGGAAGTTGTGTTGGATTCATTAAAACTGAAGAGTTCGCGTCCGAACAACGAAAAAGTCCAAAAATTCAATCGCATTTTCCCCTATCTGCGATCGCATAAAATGTGTCAAGGATTAGTAAGGTCGAAAATATTAGCCCGAGGCAAAAAGACCAAAAATGTGATCGCATTTCCCCTTTCTGTGATTGCATTGCCACTTCGAAGCTCAAAAAGGTCAAAAATAGTAGCATACTTCATTAACCGATAATTCTAGAAAATTTGGAAAAAAAAAATATGATCGCATTTTCTAATATATGCCATCGTGGTTTTTTATTTCTTGCTCCGGAAGCTTCTGACTTGCATATAAATACAACCCCTCTGATCAGATTGAACCCGAGAAAATTCCAGACTATGAAAATCCCTTCCGAAGGTGATTTCTGCTAATTTTCATCACTTTCTGAAGATCTGAAGGTTGTGGATCATCTCCTACACGTAGTTTAGGAACATTAATCAGTTAGTATCTCTTTTTATTAGTTTTAATCTGATTTTAGCCATGTCTGCCTAAAACCCTAGTTTTTATTTTTGCAGTAGACTAGTATTTTTCATGTAATCAGTTATCATATTTGGTTTTTATTGTGTGCTTCTATCTAGCTGTTTCAGCTTTGAGCTTAATGAATGTTTTATTTTTGATTCTTTTTAGCCTGATCACCTAAGTAGGGTTTAATTAATCTAGTTAATCAGTTAATAGAATCTGTAATTCTTCTTGTCAACTGGTAATAAGGAACAAGTATCAAATTGGCTCGGTGTTGGG